TGTAAGCAATGCTGCAATGAATATATGGATGCACATGTCCCCTCGAAGTAGCGTTTTACGTTTCTTAGGATAAATACCCAGAAGTGGAATTACTGGGTCCTTCTTTGTCTCTTATTACAGCCTTTGTCTTAAAGTCTGTTTTTGTCTGGTATAAGTATTGCTACTCCAGCTTTTTTGTTTTTGATTCCATTTTCATGAAACATCTTTTCCTTATACCTTTACTTTCTGTTTGTGTGTCTTTTGATCTGAAGTGAGTCTCTTGTAGGCAGCATATGTAAGGGTCTTGTTTTCTTATCCATTCAGCCACCCTATCTTTTGATTGGAGCATTTAATCCATTTACATTTAAAGTAATTGTTGATAGATACGTGGTTATTGCCATTTTATTATTCATATTTTTTTATCTTTTTTTCTTTTTTTCGTCTTAAAGAAGTCCCTGTGAGATCCCTTGTAATTCTGGTTTGGTGGTGATGAACTCCTTTTGCTTTTTCTTGTCTGGGAAGCTCTTTATCTGTCCCTCAATTCTAAATGATAGCTTTACTGTATAGAGTAATCTTGGTTGTAGGTCCTTGCTTTTCATCACTTTGAATATTTCATGCCAATCCCTTCTGGGAGCTTCCTTGTAGGTAATGGACTGCTTTTCTCTTGCTTCATTTAAGATTCTTTCTTTGTCTTTAACCTTTGGCTTTTAAAAAAAATTTTTTTTATTGGGGAATTGGAGAAGGGGAACAGTGTTGGGGAATTGGGGAAGGGGAACAGCCAAATTGCTGTCCTTCAATCTTAGTTGTGGAGGGTGCAGCTAGCTCAGCTCCAAGTCCAGTCACCATCCGGCTGCCCATCAGCAGCTCGCGGCTGCTTAGCTCAAGGTGCTGTGTTTAATCTTAGTTGCAGGTGGGCATAGCCACCATCCTATGTGGGAGTTGAACTGGCAACCTTGTTTTTAGGAGCACGTGCTCTCACCAGCTGAGCCATCCTGCCACCTGTTGGCAGCTCAGGAGCAGCTCAGCTCGGGCGCAGCTCATTGGCCCATGTGGGAATTGAACTGGCAACCTGTTGCTCAGAGCTTGCACTCTTAACCCACTGCGCCACTCGGCCGACCCCTAACATTTGGCATTTTAATTATGATTTGTCTTGGTGTGGGCCTGTTTGGGTTCATTTTGTTTGGGATTCTGTGCTACATGGACTTGTATGTCTATTTCTTTCACCAGGTTAGGCAAGTTTTCAGTCATTATTTCTTCAAATAGCTTCTCAATCCCTTGTTTTCTCTCTTCTTCTTGTTGTACCCTTATGATACAAATGTTGGGATGCTTGATGTTATTCCTGAGTCCCCTAAACTATCCTCAGTTTGGGGGATTCTTTTTTCTTTTTGCTCTTCTGTTTGGGTGTTTTCTGCTACCTCATTTTTTTAAATCGCGGATTAAGTCCTCTGCTTCATATAATCTATTGATTTCCTCTAATGTATTCTTCATTTCAGTTATTGTATTCATTATTTCTTTTTTGTTTTTTGTTTTTTAAAGATTTTTATTGGGGGGTTGGGGGGATGGGAACAACGCTGGGGAATTGGGGAAAGGGGAACAGACAAGTTGCTGTCGTTTTGTTCTTCAGTCTAGTTGTGGAGGATGTTGCTTCACTGGCCCA